TTTCTACCACAAATACTAATTAGTCAATAAAGAAAGATCATAAATACTGCTACTTTAATTTAAACATACTCAGACTGATGTTGCTGCAAGCCTGGCTATCCCATAGTTTATAAATTGTTGGCATGGGATGATGCAACATTAACATGAAATGTAAAAAACTGCGACAAGTGGCAGGAAAAAAAGCTGCAATGCCAAAAGTTTAAAAAACAAACCACCATGATTAAAGTTTATTCTCTGCCCTTTCTTTACTAGATAGAGAGACAATGCCAGATTTATGGTGGAGTAAAGTTTTAGCAAAATCTAAAGTGGAACATGACATGTACTGTAAGCTCTCTCTGTATAAGCAAAACACTCCAACAAATAGATATTACTGGATTAATATAATCTCTGCCAATTAATGGCTATATATTAAATCTGATATTGCCTAGAGAAGCTTTATGGACAGCAAAAACCTTTAAAGTCAATATTTCTAATGAAATTTCGGTAAACTTCTGAATCTGAAATTTCTTCTGAAATTTTGGTAAAATCTTAAATATGAAAATCTAGGCAGAAAAAAAAACCTAAACACTGCAGTTGTCCATTTATATAAAAAAAAATCATGGAATGTTTAAATACCACAGACTTATGACTTCAGACTCTTATAGTTCTCTGTACAGCAGCACTCAGATAAGGAGAGAGAGAGGGGCAGCAATCTAAACCATTCAGGTCTCCCGCATTCACATTTGCTAAAAAACAATGTGTGTTTGGGAAAAAAAGCAGAGAGATAAACTCATCACTTTCTTGCCGATTCTTAACTATCCAATCACAAGGACAAGACCAAGTTGCTTTGTTTAGCTGCAGCAGAAAAATTAGGTAACCAGACAGCCTGTGCTGTTTATCAGGGCTGTGTATATTTCAGGATTGAGTTTAAAAAAAAATACAACCCCTTTGGTAAGTAAGATGACATACATGAATGTTACATTTTAAATAGTGGTTTGCCTGTAGTTCAGCTTTGAAGCTCAACTCCAGGGATTCAATCACTTTGAAAAATGTGCAGGCACACTGTAAATTAGGTGCATGCCGCTTTATGGACTTAACTCTTTAATTTAGGTCTGACAGTTTTATGGAGCTCTGGAAGAGTTAGCTATTGCTGTAGTTTCAGAGCTCCTGTTAGGGACCGACCGGCGGTAGCCTCTAGCGCTACACAGACTGGGATTCCCCAGGGCGCAGAATCTAAGCTCCGACCTGCTTGTTCACCAGAGCCCCTGATGGCGGGGATGGACTTGGAGCAGGCCGAAACCAGGTCGCGGCCCCTGGGTGCAACCAGCCATGGTAGAGGCACTTGCCGGTGGTACGTAGCAGGTGAGAGCCTGATGTGAAGAGGTGGAGTGAGCGAAGTCAGACAGGCCAGGTCAGTAATGGAGGAGGCAGAACGGTACAAGCGGCAGGCAGAAGGATATAACGGGTCACAGGCCAGGTTCAGTAACAGGAGGTCAAACGTACAGGATAAGACAGGAGAATGGTCAGACAAGCCAGGGATCAGAGCAGGAGACAGTCAACGGATCAGGGTCAGCAACAAGGCAATCTCTCAGGAACACAGGATAACAGGAAAAGACCATACGGCAATTACATAATTCTGTATTTTTTGCAGATTTGCAGACTTTAGAAGTCCACAGATAGAAAAAAAAAGATATGTAATGTAAGTACTCAATCATATTGCTCAGTCAAAGGGACTAACATTGAGATGCCCAAAACTTTCACCTAGTCTTAGGATCTATTTTGATTTAATCCAGCTCTTGTTTAAGGCTATATCCATTGAAAAGTTATATTTCAGTATTGGGCAAACGCTGATGTGTGCAGTCACACACCAGTTTCCTATACCATTCCTAGACCTAAGCGCCAAGATTTCCCCACTAAAATTCTTCCAAGCACATCTCATAATCTCCACATCAAATGTGAAGGAGCAATGACTATTATTGGGAATCCCCTTTTACTTGAAACATATTATGATATCAAGCACATGCCCAGTTTTCATGCTGACATCATTGTGTAGAAGGCAAACATAAGATTAGTCAATTAATCAACACTAAAGAGGAGAGATTGTGAAAAATAATCTTTAAAACACATTATAATTTTTCAAAATGAAGTCAGACCAATGGGCACCACAAACCTTATTCAAATACATAAAATATAGTAACCTACATATGAAGACAGGTAACAAACCTGTAGGAGGATTTTATTTCCCGATCAAGAATAGCATTAGTAGTAATAATGCCCCTTCTGGAATCTACTAAAAAAGCTTGATTTTCATTGCCATCCACAAATGAGTAATCTACTTGCCCGTTCATACCACCATCTGCATCTGTGGCAAAAACCTTAAAAATAGACAATAATTACGTAAACATTACAAAGCAACTTTTTTTTTTTGCAGTATAATAAACATATAGAGGCAAGGAGAAACACACACAAATATGAATAAATGCATACGTTAACATTGTATTAGAATCACAAAGTGCATAAAAGTATAAAACACAGTGTTCTAAAACACATTAACATGTTGCTTATGTTAATCACTAAATCAATGACTCAATTAAGTCCTAAATCTCCTTACTGTGAGTGTCATTGTATGCAGGATGTATCTAAATGCAGTGGGTAGTGGGTATACATAACTGACAAATAAAGACTAACCTAAAAAAAAAAGATCAATACACAAGTATACCTATCATGGCACTGTAAAAGTGATCAGTTTTACAAACCAGCCCTGGAGCTTGTGGGAGCCCAGATGATTATGGGAAACAGAGTCAGAAGAGCCCACGCCTGCATCCAAGCATTGTAAGTGATGGGGAACTCCACTACAACTATATTGTACAAGACCATGCTTTGGGAAGAAAGCGCATCACCAAGTGCCAAAAAGCAGAGGTAACACATGTTCTATGTATAAGTACATATTACTGTTTAAACTAGTACCTAAAGAACATTACAGCCCATTAAGAGTTAAAGTATACATAAAGCAAATTTTCCCCCTCATTTTGGATGGAATAGGGCAGGGTAAAACCCCTCTCGTTTTTTTTGGGGTTTTTTTTGTTCTACCATCTGTGTACCATTAGGGAGATTTGCCCACACTTCCTGTCCTTTGGTCACAACAGTAAGTGAAAGGAAATTTCTAAAACAAATTGTGAAATCCTCTTTTAGACAGTCATGTCCAGAACACATGTGTATGTTAAAAGATGTTCCAGTTGTGCCTATCCAGGTGACAAATTTTGAATTGAACCATCACTTTCAATCCCAGCGACAATGGTCCTCAGGACAAATAGAGTTGTAGAATCTCCCCATCAGGGACACAGACAGCAATAAAAACTTGACAAGGGTTCCTACCATTCAATCCGAAAAAAGGTTTGGCTTTAGATACATGTTAGGTTTGATTAACTCCTCATTGTAGAATACAGGGAACAACATGCTTCAAGTATGAGCATGATGAGTTATGTTCCGAGAAAACACTGCTAGACAACCCATAAAACCCATAATTCAGCAAATCATGGGGGAAGATATCCATCATAGCCCATCACCATTTTCTCCTAAAACCAGCTGATGGATTTGTCTGGTGGTGCCTATACATATGATGTATTTGCCCTATCTGACTGATTGTGGATATACTGGGGAAACTATCTCAAATCTATGATCACCTTAAACAATTTGAAATCCATCTGAACAAGATTGTGATTGCAGCAAACCCAGGAATGAATAGAGTTTCTCCTCTATATTTTTGGCTTACAAATAATCAGTAATTGTGTGTGTGTGTGTAGGGGGGTGGATATTTCTGACAAAAAACATGCTTGTGCATAGTCACCAATAAACACATTAAGATTGCCTAATATCAAAGTCCCATCTCTCTTTATATCGAGATTTATTGTTCTCAGTAATGGCTCATTCACACCTATGCGATATAAACACACATAGTTTAATATACATGTGCAGAAGTTTGACATTATTTTAATGGTGATAGTTCAAAGATATGTGGTACATTGATATGTCTTGGCCAAATAAATTTCATGTCTGTATTTTCATTATAAAAACTTTTGATAGAAATGGCAGTACGTATCAGTGTATGACATTGAACCTGCCCATGCCAATAAAAAACAAAGAAAAGTAAACAAATGGTCACAAAGTCAGCTTAGGTTTTTTGGAATGTGTCAGTATTATTTAAAAATAAACTGCTACTGTGTACAATATATACTGTGCAGTATAATAGGCAGAGGTCAGTTTTGAAACTATACTTCATAAAATCTAATATTATTACTGCCTGAAATTATTTTTCAATACATGGTAGGAAAATGGTTGAAAATAAACCTTAGCAGTGAGTACTTGGAGCCTAAACTCTTTGTGATTTTATGTTATAAATTATGGGACTGGGCATTTGAAGCACAGAAAATATATCAACTGGCAATAGCAGCAGTAGTGAAGTATTAACAAATTTATGTTGTGGTCTCAGGAAAAGAACATTTATAATCTCATACTATTTCCTACCATTTTCATGCTATAAATCTGACGGTAATGAAATATTGCATAAAAATATACTTCTGTATTAGCAAAACATATTATGCTTTATAGTAGGAATATAAATTAGGATTAAAAGCAGTGTAAACTTGATAATTATTTAGCACTACCACAAATGAGGAAAACACCTGAAATGTTAAGGCTGATTTTCTAATAAAGTTGAGAATCTTTACTTACAAATTGTGCAAATATTCAGTTCAGTTTTTAAATCACGAGAATAGCTTCTGTACATGATTGGGTACAGGAATTTGCCTTTTACATGATTGGATAGCTGAAGTGAACATACTTTTTGAGAGAATATTCTTGAATCCTTTAATAAATTGGCCTAGTTATTTACAGCTAATTTATAGATAACATTTAAAAATAGACCCCTAGTGTAGATGCTATTAAAATACCATGAACCAAACCCAGAAGAAAGATAATTTTATGTAGTTCTGTACCTGAATAACAAAGAGGTTGTAGCCTTGACCTTCCAAAACAGAAGTTATATGATGGTCTCGATCAAACACTGGCACATTATCATTTTCATCTTGGATCAATACTGAAACTCCACAGTATGCCACAGAAGTACTGCTCATGGCAGCGATGACGAAATTTATTTTCTTGTTGGCTTCTGCATCAAGTAGCAAAGACTCCCTCACCGTGAGCTCTCCTGTCAGACAAAATACAGCAGATCTAACTGATCTAGAATTGAACCAACAGCTACTATGAGAACATGTAATCAGATTCAATGTGACCATATTCCATGTTACACCTTAAATATAGGTATAGCATAAAGCATGATATCAAAGGTGGACAATGCTATTACATTAGTCATTGTGGGGCAAGACAGACAGTTCTAACTTGATCTGTGGAGCATTCCCTTAATGTGATAATTCAGCTATAGGAAACATCTGCTTCTAGCTGAGTTAACCCATAGCTTCTTATATCTTAGGGCAATACGTAAATAAGGTAAAGTTGTGTTCACTTTAAATACAAGGAAATAAAGGAATTAGTAAAAAAAATAGGATTTTTGTGCACAGATGACTGAAGTGAACACAGAATCACCTTATTTACTAATCTAAGTTATCAGCCTTTATTTCTTTAGTAAATCCTACGTGTGTGAAAGCCATTTGAGCAAACTGAAAGGTGTAAAAGAGCTCCATTTTAACGGGCAAGGGAATGAAAACAGCCCCATTTTTACGGGCAAAGTTCAGTTAGATTACCCCATCATGCTCTAGCAAAAATCCTTTAAAAAAAATGTTTTTGCAAAGTAAACATTCAAAGTTGCATCACCCAACCCATAAATAATAATTACCAAATATCACAAACCCAAAATACACTGTGACACAAAAACAAATACATATAATTTAAAGTTTAAAAAATAAGTCCAGTGACAAAATCCAAAAAAACAGTCCCGTAAAAAATTTATTAAATTATATTTTCATTGGATTCTTCCGTGCCAGTGATACCTCCACCATCCACCAGTGCAAAACCAACATTAACTGCACTCACCAGATAATGGTGAGTCAAATGCCTTTCAGGGATATTAAGGGCTCCTGGCCCCCTTTACTTTGTATATGACTTCCAAATATTGCCTCCTCTAGGATATGGAACCTCCTCTGGTTGTTCCTCTCACCGAATCCCCAGAGAAAAATCAGGAAAGAAGAAAAAACCATAGTGTGATACCGTAATGATTTCCAATCTTAAAAGAATTTTTCCAGACCACTCACATTTTAGCAGATATTAACCCGCATTTTTATTGAAGCAAAAACGATCTTTCTTTCATAAAAACGATCTTTCTTTCTCAGAGAACGCCCTGTGGTTAATGTTGGTTTTGCATGGTGGATGGTGGAGGTATCACTGGCACGGAAGAATCCAATGAAAATATAATTTAATTCATTTTTTTCACGGGACTGTTTTTTTGGATTTTGTCACTGGACTTATTATTTTTTAAACTTTAAATTATATGTATTTGTTTTTGTGTCACAGTGTATTTTGGGTTTGTGATATTTGGTAATTATTATTTATGGGTTGGGTGATGCAATTTATTGTTTTGTGGGTTTTGCGCTGGTATAAGTTGATATAAACATTCAAAGTAGACAGGTTTTGTAGCTGTTGGATTTTCCCTGCTCAATCAATGCGCAAGCTATAACCGGCAATGCTCATCAGTGTATTCTGATGGTGCGGAGGCTTCCCCACTGTAAGGATTAAAGCTCAGTGGGGAGAATTCCCCTATTCACATCAAGTGTGTGGGTGGGGGAATTGAGTCATTTTTTTCATTGATTTTGAGTGAAAAAAAATGACTTATGCATGGGCTGTCTAAGATAACAAATATCTCCTTTTATAATGGAGCTAAATTGACAAAAATGTTAAAGGTTACAAAATTATTAAAAAGACAAAACTATATTTTATTCTTTTATTTTAGTTGTTACCCCGCACTGTATGTTTACCACTAATTTAGTATATGTATTATACCTGTATCAGAGTTTAGCATGAAGGTTTCTTTGTCACCGCTGATAAGGCTGTAAAATATGGCATCTCCATTTGGATTATGATGTCTGGCTTCTACGGTAACAACTGATGAGCCTGCATTAAACAGTCATGTAGTAAAGACAAAAGATATATAGGATATATTGGGGGATATAAAAGTCACCACTAAGTTCACTAACTAATATAACAAATAAGGTTATATTTATAGTTCAGTAGATACCAATGTGTAGCACTACCCCCTTAGGGATTGCTGATGAATTTGGGTCCCCCTATAGTCCTGCACAGCCAAGCAATTTGCATTCTCCACACAAGCTTGCATTCAAATTCAGAAATCAGCCTTTGAGATTTTCTTTTGTTTTTTATTAAGGGGATTAAGAGCTGGGATTGGGAAAGGGGGGTATAGGATGCCCAAGGGAACCAATAACCGAGGACAAACCCTCTGAAACTATTCACAAACTTCTCTTCTGCAGCACAGTATCTGTTGGAGAACTAGCCAGCATTTCCTTGATGTACTACCCCAGACCCTAGATGAAATTCACACATACACCCAGCAATCTGGTGGATTTCCTGAGCAGGGAATCTGGCTCCTGTTCCTTTAAATAGGACTAATAGTACCTAGTAGAAGTCTAATCTGGCTTCCTACCAAAGTGCTCCTTCCCCTATCCACTCAGGGGATGCAGGTGTACTCACTCAGATCCCCTCCTGTACCGTTTGCGGGTTGGCTACTGCTATGAGGCTTATCAGCTGGGCTGCTCCTTCCCTGCCATACAGGTGGTCCTTGCTCAGGAGGCCAGTGAGCTTCAAGTTTTCCTCCTTTCCAGCTCCAGACTCGCAGGCAGGCCCCATATCACTAGGCCTCCTGGCAGCCCTCCTTCTTCTGCCTCACATCTTCCTCTCCACATTACTCTCCTTCTTCCACCAGAGTCCCCTGCTACTGAGTAGGCTCCAGAATTTTTAAGGGAGTCCCAGGCCCTTGCCAAGCCTTCTGTTGGGGATTGGCTGAGATCCCTCAAGAGTGCAGCCAGCCATTCCTCAGATCCACCCACTGACTCCAAGGCCTTCCTCCAAAACCCTCAGGGCAGCGGGAAATTCCTGAGAGGATGTCCTGAAGAGCCTCTCAGCCCTGACCACAATTTGTTCCCTCTGGCTATTGCCCCTGAGCTGATACTCAGCTCCTGTCTAACCATTAGGATCTAGCTCCCTTAGCTAAACTAGGGGGGTGCTACATATGCATAGAATGGAAACAACGAAAAAGGTGGATATGTGAATGTATAAAAAAAAAGTGTATGATGTTAAATAAGTGATGAGTAAAGTTATACCACATATTCTACTTTTATTTACCACTCATACAGTGCACATTCACAGGCTGGGACTTCTATGGCTGTTCATCATAGCACAGTCTCTACGCATATTTGTTATGGTTGGGTATTTTCAATTCTTAAGTGGAAAATCCAGGTCTCAGAATCATTAGCCATAACTATATTATTGTGAAACTTACTGCAACAAGGCCTTTTTGGCAATTAACAATTACTTTATCAAAGACCCCACCATCTTCACTTCCACTTGTTTCTGTGTACTTCCAAATTCACCTATTTTCACTCATTGCAAATTATTAATTATTTTTAGGCTAAAATCTTCACCTGCAGTCTCTCCCTATTTCTGTGGGCAGTGAAATACATAACCTTGCCAAATGTGGTAAGGTTTTAATGAATTTGCAGCAATACATTTTGCAGAATTATATGGAGTACACAAAAACATTCATCTCAGGCTGTGGGACAGAGGAATTGTCACTCTAATGTTCTTTCTGAAGTAACATACCACTAATTTATTACCACCTATACTACAACATATACTGTAGCTCTGGTATATTGGTCAAAAAGCCTTTAACGAAATGTTCCCATGTCACAATATACAATTATAACTATTAATATTTAATGTATATAGCCTTATGATAGTAAGCAGTACTTAACAGAGTTCATAGAATGATTTTCTTCCGAAAATCTAAGTGAACATCTTACACTCTGCAGCAGCAGCAGCAGCAGCAGCAGCAGCAGCAGCAGCAGCAGCAGCAGCAGCAGTATAGTACATTTACCTATAATCTCTTTTACAATGTAACTGTGCTAATTGCTGTGCCACATTGACTGTTCAGTGCACACTCCTAGGGAGTCTTCATACTGGTGCGAGAACCTGTTGCATTATCTGCTGAGTGTGTGTGCAAATATTATGAAATAATGAATACATGAGAGTGAGGCATAGCGGAGAACATGTGGATTTACATTTCCTACAAGGATAAGAAAAAGTCTGTTACATAAGACCCTAAAACTTCTACACCCTAAACTCTGAACAGGCCAATTTGCCCCGTGGGTGTGTTTTTGGGGCATGCACAATTTTTGCCTGCAGAGGAAATCATAATCAAAACACTTCCACACACGCACATCTACCCGTCCCCCTATACTTGTGTTCTCAGTTATGCCTCATCTCTGCTGCTATTACAAAGCCAAAGAGCAGTTTACTGACTTCTTCAGCATGTCCTTTATAGAAAACAGAAAGCCTAAGGCCTCTTCTTTTGACTATGGCAGTGGTCATAGATGGATAACTCAGGCAGAATTGGGGGATTTAACCAATAGGCATGAACACAAAATAAAATGATCAGTTTTGGTTAGAATTCTAGAATTGAAAATTTAACATATTTAAGAATTTAGTATAATAGTAGCACATTCCAAACCTATGAAACTAACATTTACTAAAACTGGAGAGGGCAAAATCTGGTGCAGCTGTGCATGGTAGCCAATCAACTTCTAACTTCATGCTTGTTCAATTAGGCTTTGACAAAAAAAAAACTGGAAGCTGAATGGTTCCTATGCAGAGCTATGCCAGATTTTTCACATTCCAGTTCTAGTAAATCAAGCACTGTGTTATGGTGTATGAAGTCAATTAGAATACTAATTATATCTATTTAATGTTTCAATAGAAAACATACCTGGCTCACTGTTTTCCTGTATTATGGCCTCGTAGATACTCTGGAGAAAGTAAACATCTCTTTCCAGTCCTTCTAGGGTAACTGTAACCAGACCTGTGGATGTTTTTGCTGGGGTACCAAGGTCTGAAGCCTCCACTGTGAGAACTGTATTTGTGAAGGTAATGGAGGAGAGCACCTTATTGACTTTAATCTTTCCTGTTTCTCTATTAATGTAAAAGTGTGGATCAGTTTTCACAAGACTGTACACCACTGTTCCATTTAGGTTGAGGTCTGGGTCACTTGCATATACAGTAGCAATGGTTGTATTAACAGAGATTTGGGGAGAAACAAGAACCTGGATTGGGTTAATTGCAAATATTGGCTCATTATCATTGACATCATCAATATGTACTATAACTTTGGCAGTGGCACTTTTTTGACCATATATGCTACAGTCAGTTGCAAGTGCCCTAAACACATATTGATGTTTAAATTCTCTGTCTAAAGCCTTTGCAGTCTCAATGTTTCCTGTTGTTCGGTTTATAGTAAAAGCACCTTGTGTATCATCAATCAAGGAGTACATTACTTCTCCATTTAGGCCCTCATCTATATCAAACGCCTGAAGGCTAAGAACCACTGATCCAATAGTTATGTCCTCTCTGACAGATGTGCGGTACTGGCTCTTAGAAAACGTAGGTGGATTGTCATTTTCATCCAAGACCTTAATGTGCAGTTTGGCTGTGGTACTTTTCCGGGGGCTGCCCAGGTCATAGCATTCCACAGTGATGGTAAAATTGCTGACATCCTCTCGATCTAAGCTGCGTGTGGCCCAGAGCTCCCCCGATGTGTTATTGATGGCAAAATATCTGCCCGTGTTTCCACCTTCAAAAGTAAAAGAAGCATTAAGCAAAAATTGACAGTAAAAGACAGACATGTGGAAAGATATGTCATCATGGGAACACCAATGAAAAAATTGTTAATTCCAATAATATTAAGAATTTATGCGTGCACAGCAAATGCTTAAGTGTCTCTGGCATGTGATTGCCTTGTGTTTGAATTAAAACCTGCATTTCATTTAAATCAGTGGGTGGCACTGACAGTAAATGTAAGAGCCCTCATCCATTACTGTGAAATGAGTTTACCAGATGTAACCCTTTCATTAAAAGTGATACACCTTATAAAATATGTATCTTAATACAAATTCAGCATGAGGACACGTAGCAGCATTTTCATGCAAACACAAAAAAAACCTCATCAAGTTCCAAAAACAATACATGTGAACTATCCTTTGGTTCCAAACAGCATCTCATTAGCTCAAGTGGAAAGTTCTTTTTAGTTGAGATACTACCATTTACAGGGAAACACAATTTATTTTAGAATGTGTTTCTAGGGTCTTGCCATTCACTGCTACCCTGATTGGAACTTCCTTAGCCAAACTATCCATCTACCAACTTTTGCTGTAGTGGATGTGAACACTGACAGGTCTCCATGTCTCCTGCACTTTTGGTGGCTATTAAAACACATCTGTCTTTAAAAGATAATCTCTCAAACGTGTTAAAAAAAGTTATTACCAGGGGCGGACTGACCATTAGAGCACTCGGGCACTACCCAAGGGTCCAGGGTCAGTAGGGGGCCCCATGAAATGCCCCTGGTACCTTTTATAGGCTTTTTTGGGTGTGCTTTGAGTGTGGTCAAGGACACAAGGGCCCCATGATCCCCTATTGCCCAGGGGCCCCATGAGTTTTCAGTCCTCCCCTGGTTATTACTATTACAGAATCAAGAGTAAGCAGTTACTTAGCATTGCCTCCTCTGAATACCTACAACATATTCTACCTTTTCCACTGCTGTGAGTTACCTGCTGACTATCGGGGTGAGCTGCTTGTATTGCAGTTATCAACATGCTACAAACATCCAATCCAGCAGGATCCAAAACACTGCTACTACATAATTTCTCAAATGAAATGGATCATAGAACTATAAAGATGAGAGATTAAATACAGAAATAGCAAGCTGATCTGTACTCCATACCCCGTTTTTTGTTTTATATACACACTATATTGCCAAAAGTATTGGGACACCCCTCCTAATCATTGGATTCAGGTGTTCCAATCACTTTCATGGCACTGGTGTATATTATCAAGCACCTAGTCATGCAGATGGCTTCTACAAACATTGTGAAAGAATCGCTCGCTCTCAGGAGCTTAGTGAATTCAATCATGGTACCGAGATAGGTTGCCACCTGTGCAATAAGTCCATCTGTGAAATTTCCTTGCTACTAAATATTCCACGGTCAACTGTTAGTGGTATTATAACAATGTGGAAGCAATTGGGAACAACAGCAACTCAGCCACCAAGTTGTAGGCCACTTAAAATGATAGAACGGGTCTGCTGAAGCGCACAGTGCGCAGAAGTCGCCAACTGTCTGCAAAGTCAATAGCTAAAGACCTCCAAACTTCGTGTGGCCTTCAGATTAGCATAAAAACAGTGCAGAGAACTTCATGGAATGGGTTTCCATGGCCGAGCAGCTGCATCCAAGCTTTACATCACCAAGTGCAATGCAAAGCGTCGGAAGCAGTGGCGTAAAGTCTGGGCTCTAGAGCAGTGGAGACGTGTTCTCTGGAGTAACCAGTCACGCTTCTGTTTGGTAATCCGGTGGATGTGTCTGGGTTTGGTGGTTGCCAGGAGAATGGTACTTGCCTGACTGCATTGTGCCAAGTGTAAAGTTTGGTAGAGGGGGGGATTATGGTGTAGGGTTGTTTTTCAGGGGTTGGGCTTGGTTTTTTAGTTCCAGTGAAGGGAACTCTTAAGGTGTCAGCATACCAAGACATTTTCGACAATTTCATGCTCCCAACTTTGTGGGAACAGCTTGGGATGGCCCCCTTCCTGTTCCAACATGTGAAGGCAGACGCCCCAATACTTTTGGCAATATAGTATATATATATATATATATATATATATACATATCATAACGTAAAATAGACAGTAGCAGCTAATATCCACAGAAACCAACCTCTTTCAGTCTGTCCACTCCGCTGTAACTTTCTTAATCCAGTCAAATTTCAGCTTTTAGATGTTCAGAATTTTCATAGTAATGCACATGGAGTTCTGGGGAATATCTACTATCTAATCAGTTTTCAAATGCTTCTGAGATGATTCAGAATTCATTCACAGGTGCATCTGACCCAAAGTCGACCACTTTCTGATTTGCATTTGACCTGCAAGATTTGCCCAGGAATGCAAAACCCATCTAATTCAAACAAAAGCCCATCAACAGAGGCCCTAATTAAGCCCAAGTGTCTCCAGAACAATGGAGAAAAAGAATGTATTGGTAAGCAAAAGGAGATAATAACCTTGTCATTGCCATCACTTCGACAAAGTTGTCCTGAATAATGATTTTGATTGAGCATCCAGGTATGCTGTGCCTTTATGTGAACTTGAGTCTACCTTTTGGGTTGTTCCTTCATTTGTGAAATCTCTTCTACAAGAACCGGGAGATGCAGACTTATGCGGAGTGTGTTTCTGGTATCACACTGCAATCATTTCCTTAAGGCTACATTCATACCGGTGATTTAGGCTGTGTAAATTGCAGCAGCAGGAAACTTCTGATTTCTGCTGCAGCTTTGAGCCTTGTGGCTATGTGTGGCCACTGCCAGCCATGGCTCTGTACAGGCAAAAATTACCTGCGGTGATTGCTGCTGGGTGCACACAGTAGGTAATCGCTGACTATGAGGAGAGCTGCAAACAGTTGCAGCTGCCAACAACCTGTCATTATAGTAAGCGGGGCTGGTGGCCACACCTAGCTGCATCAGAAATCAGAAGATTCTTGTCACTGGAATTTGCACTGCCCTAAGTAATTAATTATCATCAAATGATGGCATAGTGTATGCGTGCTTTGTAAATACGCAGTTTACATTGCATACATTTACAGTTAGATGATAGTTCGCACTATTCAGCATACCACTGAATCAGATATTGAATAAGTACAATTCATGCAATAGGTACATATCAGTGGTCCCAAACTGTGGCTCCTGGCCAGATGTGGCCCTTCCATCCCTCCTTTGGCGCACTATTCCTCTCATTGATATGGGACACTATTCTCTCAACTGACAACAACAATGGGGCACCATTTTTCCCACTGACACCAATAATGGGGCACTATTCCTCCCAATGTACCAACAATGGGGTTTATGCATTATTCCTCCCCCCTAATACCAAATGTGCTGATGTTTATGCCCACTGATGGCAGGACAATTTCCACTGCCGCTGGCCACAGTCTGGTCAACCCTAAAGTCTGAAGAACAATAAACTGGCCCTTTGTTTAGAAAGTTTTGAGACCCCTGTTCCAGATTTTAAAAAATGTATTCACTGTGCTTTGGTAAAGGTGTGGAATAGTAATCTCCAAACTTCGGCCTTGGCTTTTTTCTGGCCTTGGGGGCACTCACTATTCCCTCCAGCCCACTGACACCAGTGATGGGGCACCCTTGTATTACCCCTACTGTGCCCATCAATATGTGCCCCTGCAATGCTTTGGGCTCAAATGTAACATCAACAATGGGGCACTATTTCTCCCAATGAAAACAATGATGGGGCACTCTCCAATCAGTGGGGCATTTTCTATTCCCACTGGGGTTTACTTAGGGTTTCCACGGTCCAGCCCTCTCAGACTTAAGAGCCTGAAGAACAGTAAAAAAGCTGGGCCTTTTCTTGGAAAAATGACTGCAAGAGCCCGCAGAATTGGTATATATTTTGCATTTTTTGAATCCAGTACTATTCCACGTAAAAAGCTTGAAGTTTGCAGCTATGTTAGATATACATCAAAACCTTCATGGTTTGGGGCTGCTTTGCTGCCTCAGGGCCTGGACGGATTGTTGTTATTGATGGGAAAATGAATTCCATAGGAAAACGTACGACCATCTGTCTGCCCAACTGAAGCTCCGCAGAGGATGGGTGAGTGCAACAGGACAATGACCCAAAGCATACAAGTAATTCAACAAAACAATGGCTGCAACAGCACAGAATACGCCTTCTGGAGTGGCCCAGTCAGAGTCCTGACCTCAACCCGATTGAAATGCTGTGGACATGACCTTAAGAGAGCGATTCACACCAGTCCCAAGAATATTGCTACACTGAAACAGTTTTGACCTCAACTATATAAACTTCAGGAAAGTTTGGGTTGAGGTTATTGCTGCCAAAGGAGGGTCAACCAGTTATTAAGTCCAAAAAGACATACTTTTTCCCTCCTGTGCACTGGTTACCATAGTCACATATATATTTTTTTTTTTTTTTTTGCAGTATTGATGCTTTGTTTCCTCTGGTATCAAATATTTGATAAAATTATTCAGAGCTTTTACGTATATTAGATGAAACTATAGATACATGTAAAATATCTACTGTAATTTAGCTAGAATTATACTGTATGTAAAGTGAAATCTTAAAAACGAATATCACATTGGGGATTATATATAAAATGCTACAGTATTGATACTGTTCACTTGCAGTAAAGAAACATGCAAACAGAATTATACTGTAAATCTTTGCTCACTTTTAATATCCAAATATGTTCAA